TCGCATTAGGGTGAGTTTATCGCGACATGTACACAGAAAAGCAATTAGAACTGAACTAATTCATAACCCCATCGATTTAGCCGCTAGATGAGCCTATTGAGGCAAACAGTAAGCGCTGACGACAAATTTATTGTAGATCGGACTCCATTCATACACTACCCAACGTTTTGAAATCTATTTTAAAAAAAGAATACAGGTTTAAATTATTCGGAATGCGAGATATTCGTATTTTACGCCACGCAGTTAAGCACTTACCTTAATGATTCATTGTTTATTCTCCGAATAACTCGCAGTCCTTTATCTTGCCACAGTGAAATTTTAATTTTCCAAATTTTCAGATAATTAGTTCTAAATGAAGTTATTCAAACGTCACTTTTCCAATTCGGCAATTTAATCCGTTTCGAAAAATTATTCACATTTTCGAAAGAATAAAACTTACCAGATTTTTCGCGTATTTGAATATTTGAATTAATTCGGGAATTATTCTAGTCGATTATGGGCCTTACTTAAATTGAACAATTTCGACTTTTCCGCGATGGTCAATAGGTAAATAAATATGCATGACAATTGAATTCCTGTAAAAAGAATCTTCCCTTAAAATTTTAACAGTGCTTTTTAGGTTGGTTTTTGAATGGCAAAAAATAATCATTCGCCGGTCGCCTGAAAGCTTCTCTCTCTTGGGATTATGGACATTGGGCGTAAAACGGAAATTACATAAATGAATATTACGCATGAATGAATATTATAGTTTGCTTGTGTATATTGCACTGAAAATATCAGAATTACGTTATGTTTTAATCGACAATATTGTATTTGACATAGGTATCTCAATGCCACGAAGAACAATGAAACATTAAAGGCGGTTAAATACTAACATAAAGAGAATATGTGTACATTCATCCATAATATATTTCCTCTTTTGCTTTATAACATTTAAGCTATTATAGACGCAAATCATTAATTTGTGTGATCATTAATTGGGTTTCAGATCTATCAAACACTAATCAGAACCCGAATCAGGAATTCTTTATTCAAAATTCCGGCGTAGGTCTGAAAGCTGAAAAAAGCCTATCAGAAGTAGCTGTCTTAAATCAGTAGCCAGCATCTTCGAGACCGCGCTCGGTGTTGGACCATAAAAAAGTTCGTTACCTGGCCGTGTACGAAAATGTTTCTTTGGTATCTCCAGCTTCAATCCGACAGATTACCAAACTGAATTTGACTTTTTTTTCTGATAGTTGTTACAGAACCATTATTCTACGAGTATTTATTTATTTAAGTTTTCTGTTTTTTTTAAAGGCATTCGACAGTGCGAAAACGGATGACGACTCCTGTCTTGAATGTGATTTACAAAAATGTTTGTTTGTTCATCTCGACCTTCAATCCCACAGATTACCAAAACTGAATTTGACTTTGTTTTCTGATAGTTATTACAGAGCCATTATTTTATTAAAACTTTGCGTGCAAACAATGCGATTCTATGTTGGTTATACATTTTTTAATTTACCCAAATCAAGCGATCAATATGGTGTAATAAAAGAACTTCTTTATATTGTAGTTGGTGTTATAGTTCATTTCTTTCATTTTTCTTATAGATGATTTCTTTAGCGTCCGCAAATTATAAGGATAAGAACTTGGCAAAGAACAATTACAACCTGGAGATTCCCATCGGAAACATTAAACTGTATTGGGACGAGGCACCCTCCCCACATTAATAAGCATTACGCCGAAATTACTGAACTCTATAGCGCCACCTTGCTGAAATCCGATGTCTATTGCTATGATGTGATGAGGTATTGAGGAATACCACCTGTTGGACACAAAATGGACCTATGGGTCGTTTTGTTATTATTGTTCTTGTTCGTATTTATTTCTCTTTTCGTTTTTATGAAAAAAAATCGCTTTTCTCATTAACTACTGGATCAATTCCTTATTTTACTGTGGTTTTTATTTATTTATTTAGTATGTAAAACAATCGAGGACATATATATATATATATGTTTTTTAAATATCATAAACAATCCGAAGTGGATGCTCAAATAAAAATTCACACTTGATCAAATTATTCAATGTTGTATTATGTGAATGTAATGTACAATTCTCTGCTCTCGCCTGGTTAATCCAGAATATCAGCATATATTCGAGTTCTTATTTCTGAAAAATGTTTTTGAGATCGAATGTAAGCCTATCGTAGCGATATTTTACAAAAAAAGGGCATGACAAGCTCGACCGCAAGTCAAATTTATAGAATAATTTTATTTAGTCCCATAGATGGAGAAGAAACGTTACCGACGGACCTCATGCTTGTATCCGTATCAGCGCCTGAGATACAAATTGATGACAGGAAACATTTGCACTTGCCTACATTTTTGTACTTGGTATCAATATTCTATATTAGTATGTTTGAATGGCACATGTAAAATGTTTAAAGCAACGGTGTGTATTTTTACAATTCATATGAGAGCCACATGTAAACTAAACGGAAAGATTACTATTAGCAGTGTCGCAAGCGACGATAAGGCCAATGAGTTATACATATATACATATTTACTGTTGTGAAAATGTTGACACACTATTAGAACTGTTGGGTGTGGCCGAACAATAAGTTTATCCTATCGTCGATATATATATAAGGAGGGAAGAAAATTTTCCAAAATAAAGTTATTGAGGAAAAAATTTTAGCATACCAAATTACGTTGGAAAGTTGGAGTCTCCGCAGTAAATACCACAGTGTCGAAACCACAACAACGTTCATTGCTAAATATGTAGTAAAATAGACTGAGTGCGGTTTCAGGAACATGAGAACGATCATGCCCATATAAAACTTATGTCATATATGACTCATATTGTCATTGTTTTCAACATGATATTCAATGTTTAATTCTCTATTGAAATGTTCTGTGTATAGTTTGCAAAACTTAACTCAAAAAAAACTTTCACTGGAAATAATACACGACTTTTTCCATAATAAAGTATGGATAAAATGCACGAAAACAAGTAACGTCAGATTGTCAGGCAGAAAAACTATCAATATATTACTGATGTAATACTACGGTGAATTATTTTGTTATGTGCACGCCTTCATTTCGATTACACCTAACATTGAACTGGAACTTTCGACAGTTTGGAAAAAAAGAGGTTTGAAAAGAATAATCGGCCTGTTGTATTTACATAATGAAAGCAATGCCCTCACAAAGCCAGTATTCGAAACGGCGCCGGTCAGGGAGTAGTCATGAAAGAAAAATTGATGAAATAAAACAATTAAATTATAATATACGTCTGTATGGTGTTCATATATTTCAAAAATACTCTACTATGTCCGTTTTGAACAAAGAAAATTCTTTGCAATTTGGAACCAAATTTGGAATGCAAATTGCTCAACTTTCGACTTCAATCGACTGAAAAATATGGTCTGGTAGCAGGATGAACTTGCATTGACTAGTTATAGTTTTCCACGTGGCGTTTCTGGTAACAACGAATTGCATTGCTGAATATTATTAATTGTCAAATCAGATCAAATATCCAATGCACTGATGAATATAAGTAATACATTTCTATACAAAACATTGGAAAATCTGCTCAAGCCCATTTATTAGGAATTTATTTTCCGGAAATTTAAGTTAGATGTAATAAAAAGGAACGCCTCGATCGACACAATGTTATATAGAGCGTGGGCTAAATTATGATGACGTTAACAACGAATTCAGGAAGCGTAATCGCCATCAATGATAAGGCATTGAATATGAAAACTTTTTGTCGGCAATTTGAGATATGTTAAGAGGTCGATAAATGGAGAGGGCGTTATGTTTAAATCCGATCTTGGGGTCTCCTTCTCGTAACATCCCAACACAATATTATACTTCGAATACATCAGAAACAATACGAGTAATCCATAGAATGAGTGGTGTGCGAGAAATTGTAGTGAACTCTTTTCAGAGAACGTATATACAGAGCAAAAGAAGATGTAAGATCACGTCGTTTTTCTAGTTGTTGGTCGAAAACGATTTCATTAATGGTTTTCCACACGACGGTTAAACATTGTTTTTATGATTCAATTGTTCGATAAGCTCGTGCATTCAGTGCCGTATAAAAGATAATTAAAATTTTTCAAACTCATGACATAATAGCGGCATGATTTTTTCGATGATCTAATTCTAGTTGAAAATATTGTAATATTAACAGATCATTGTGCTTTATGCTTCACTATCTCGCCCCGGATAACGCTATATCAAGAAACAGATACCCGAGCATACGTGATTACTGGTCCATTTTTTTATTTTCCGCTTGGCTAATACAATATTTACGCATATTCGGAATAATTTGAAAAATGGAATATATATACATATAAACTTTGATTGCATAAGTGTAACAAGATTTTATTATATGTAATTAAAGAGTCCTTCTGCTCGCAAACACAAATGTACTTCTGTGACGTTAAGTCTGATTAAAGTCATACTTTCTCAGACAAGCAGTTTACAACAATGACAAGAAAAGAACAATCATGCGGTTAAAATATAGCGATGAATAAATTTGTTTAAAATTTAAATTTCAGATTAATTGCAACCAAACAATGGATAAACAATTATTTATATTTAGTAAGCAGAGTACGATGTGAAAATGCGATGGGTATCTATAGATTAAAATAACTGTTTCGTAGCGTTCTCAACTGATAGTTATATATATATTACTATAATTTAGTAAACCATAATTTTATGTCGTTTCATGTTAACCAGGGCGTCAAAATAGGGAGAAGTCACGTCATTGTCCAGGTTCGAGTAATTTAGATACAGTTTATCATCGATGGAAACTACAGTGAAATATGAGTAAACTCGGAATGTTTTTATTCATTGCATCCGATCAATAACCTTTATTGTGATTGATAATTATTTTAATGAATGGGGAAGTAATGTTCTATGCTTTCGTGTAGGTAAACAAGCACTACTTCATGAATATGTGTAACACGAATGTTCCATTTTATAAAAGATATTGAAAGGTATAACATTATGTCATGTGTTTAGTGTAAGCAGTCTAGGAATGTACAAAAAGCGGTACGAAGATCTTGAAAATTATACCTTCGATTTGTTCCGAAAGTGAAACAACTAACTCGAAAAAATGAAGTTTTTACTCGTTCTCGTGGCAACCGTTGCGTATGCAACAGCAGGTAAGGTAATTTTTGGTTCAGAACGAGTCTCTAGACTAGACAACCGCGTCGGAATGTATTTAGAACTGTCGTAATTTTCCTGGCCAGGTTTATACCCAAATTCTTAATATATTTATTACGGGGTTATTCAGCTTGTGGGAACGAGGTTTGCAGTCGGTATCTTAAATTTACAACTTATCATAAATTTACCTCAACGTAAGATTATTCTTTGAATGTATAATCCGTTATGTCGTCTCAATGGCATATCTGTAACAGACATGCACAGCGACTGGTAAACATCAATTTCTTCTAATGGTAGCATAAGAAGAACACGGAATCCATAAAATTCCGGGGATGAACCCATACAATAAAGCTTTAATCGAAAATAAAATAATCTAACTAGCCTACTGGGGAAATTTATGGATATTCAATTTTTTTTTCAGCTCCTGCCTGCAAAGGAAAAATTTCAGATGGTTTCTGTTATTTCATTGGTAAAATGGCGCGAGGTGGTGCTCTGGTAGAACAGGCTGAAAGCAACTGTGAGCAAGAGGGAGCAACACTTGGTCAATTCAGAAGCTTGAAGGCATACAGTCAGGTTCACGATTTCCTGCTTGCCAGTGCACCTGGAACAATGATCCTTACAGGAATGTCATACGATGTAAGTATAAAAATATATACGTGGAACTTTTACTAGTATGTTCCGGTATGTGGTTTATAAATAATTATTGACGTTTGGTGAATAGCTTTAATATCACTCACCATTATGTGTCCTGCAGTTAAATTACTAGTTTTTTTGTCACTTAGAAAAATGTAAATCCATGCGGGTTTATGTAAAGTTTTCTTGTTATGAGAGTCTTAGGATAGTCCATTGAAAAATTAAAAGGCGGCAAACACACAGCGTGATAAATGATGTCGGGGTTGAGGTATTAGCTGCTAAACGGAAAGATAAACACGAGACGTTCATTTTCCATTTTCAAAGAAGTTCCATAATTTGTACCTTAGTACGTAGCTTCTGAGCATGGCAAACGTTTTTCCATCTACATGCTGAAATTGAACACAAAAAATCATCTCATTCGTGGAAATTCTTGTGACGCTAATCACAACTCTCATTTTAAATACTCTTTTTTATATTTTCAGCAAAAGTTAAACAAAAAGGTCCCCCTATTGGCGGATGGTGAACCAATTTCCTACAAGCCTAAGTGGTTCGAAGGTCATCCCATCAAAGAAAACAAACACGGAGAAATGGTTTTTATGGCTAACAGAAACGACAAGTTCAATGGAATGATGAATGCTCAAGATGGCAGCCGTTACAGCGTGTACCTGTGCGAAAAAAAAATGAAGGAAGATCTCTAAACATACTATAACTTTACATCGATTTCCCATTTTTAATTTATGTTATAATATCAATTGCCTCAAAAATTTCATAAATGTTTGTGCAAAATAAACATCACGCTTGACAAACACTTGGTAACACGTCATGATTAACTGCATTTGTGGGCGATCATATTCACTTCGACCAGTCGCAGCATTCAGTTTGAGCTGGTAGAAAGACGAGATCAAAGTCATATCGGCTTGAGTGCAGACGGCGGCATTTATTCAAATGTTTGTTCCATCCGAATGTTAATCAGAACATATTTTAAGGTTGGGCAATGTAGCTCAAAAAATCGCCAACCTGCTCTCGACCGCGATCGACTGAAATCTTTAAAATAGCTCGCGATCGACTAAATCCCACACAAAAAAGTATGGGTATACAGATAACTGCACACACGCATACAAAAAATTCCATCACTGCCAATAAGAAGGCTTTGTGAGCGCATTGTGAAATCAACACAAAATTTGTATTTTTTATGTTCCATTTGAGTTGTAGATTTAAATATTTAATTGAACACGGAGTATATGTTTCATCATTTATTTAAGATTTCTTCATATCATTCAGATATAAGGCGTGCCTAATTTTTAGTCGTAAGTGTTGAAAATTCTTTATTAAGAAACCTTGCCAAGTACTCATGTATTATCTGAACAGCAATAAAAATAATTTTTTAAACCATGAATGTTACATGACTGCTTAAACTTCAGTATCTAATTTACAATTTCCCCCAAGTGCGATTCTTCGCTCGCTTGTAAACAGAAAAATTGCGCATACTGATGCTACCATTGCGACTAAAATTTATCTCACTACTTTTGGAGTGAGACAATAACTTTGCATATTGCAGAGGCTATTGTAGGGTCGTTCGTCAGTCAAGACACGCGATATTCGGCACTTCATTTTCAATTGAATAATAAAAATAATTAATTAATTAAATTATATATTTTTGCGGAGACAGAGGGTATACGTATGCCAAACAGGGATGTGCACATGTTATGCCAACATAGTTGAGTCGAACATTTTGATCACTAGTACATCACACACATTATCCTGAGTGCTTCGGTTGTACGTGACAACGCGCACATTTTTCCGCACATGCATCAAATTCCACTTGTTTATTGACCTATAGGTTTTTGAAACCCTTTTGTGTATGATTTCATCCCTAGAATTTGTACGCTTTTTCTTTCATTCAAGCCGCGTGTTGGAAGTAAGTTTTGTAATATTGCGTGTTGGTTTTCAACTGGTTTATTTATATCCATCATTTGACATCCTCAAATCGATGATGCCAGTAAATGTTTGACACAAAAAGATCAGTATCATCTGCAATAAAAACAGCAGTACCCACTCAAATAACAGCTTGGGGATGGATACTCATATTGTCTGCTCCATCCCGTAGCGTTTCAGAATGAAACCTGCCTCTTACCAGTTTACATGAGTGTCGCTATCTAAGCTCAGCCAGAGACAAAAAAGTGCGGTTGGCGTGACGAAATGTTTTCAAATATATATTCAACAATAAGATTATTTGATTGCATATTACTGAAAGTTACGTGTTATATGTTATTTCCCATTGCACTATTTCTTTACTGATATTCGATGATAGGACGCATATCTGACATAGTTTTTCAAGTGTTTAGATAGGTATAATCTTTCCACGCAGTTCTGATGGGAATGCGCGAATAAATCTAAGAATCGCTAATATTGGTTTGCAATGCGATGAAATCCCATCTTGGCATTTCTGCCTCTTGCAATTGCTCCGTATATTTATCGGAGAAGTTCTGTGACGTAGATGTTCTGTCCTCAGTAGATATTGCAGAATTGATCTTTATTTTACCATTTTACATGTAATGCTTTTTGGTAAATCTGTTATCTATCGTAAATACAGCACATTTGACTATGTTGTAGTGTAACTTTTTTGGCCTCACTTTTTTGATATTTGTAGTTAGATCTCTTGGGTCTCTGTCAAACAATGTTACATACAAAATATTCATTGTAAGTTGCAAAATATGATTATGTTGTTGGAATAGCTTTACATTTTACTATCCGTATATCATTCATTGTCGAGAATATTAATGAAATCATAAAATCTGAAACCCGTTTTCGTGAATTTTTTTGTTGTAGCTGAACTTGAGGGACAGCATGACAACAGGCAAGGGAAGCACGGTCGTCTCTTTTAGTTTGTGACATGGTTTCTTAAAAGGGGACCCCGGCCTCCTTGGGGACCACGGATCGGTTATCTGGGCGCACGAACAAACAGATGGAAATGCGAATATATAATAATTATGTATTTTTATAGAAGAGGAGAAGCAAGTGTCGAGAGTCTTTAGCAGTTTGAAAAGCATTTGCATAGAACATAAAAATTCATTCTTTCCAAGGGATATACTATGAAATGTAGCAATTTTTTCATTCGTGTTTTCGTGATGGCATTATCTTTCACTGCATCGTCGTGATCATCCCGCTGCATAACAATCCTTGCTAACAAATAGTTGACTTTTCTCCACCGGGAGAAATATATTTGCGCACAAACTGTACGCAATCCAGTTGAACCACTGTCGACTGCATTAGCAGACTTGTATTCTTAATTGCAACAATAGCGGGTATTTTGAAATAGTACTCTTTATTTTATTGTTTCCAACATTGTTTCCCTATCTATGGGTCGCGACCCAACGCTGGGTCGCCTGAAAATATTTTCTGTACGATTTTTTTCAACAAATTTCTAAAAGTTCTCGATTTCATTTCCTAGTAAATTTGGTGCTTCCGTAATATGTGCACCAAGATGGCGCACAACATGTGTACTCGGTTAGGAGTCAGGTTGTGCGCCATTATAGTGCACAGATTTGACGAAAAACACTAATACAAATATCAAGCCGTAAAAAAATTGCTCAAGCAATTCTGCAAACTTCACACCCATGTAGAAATGATGGGCAATGACCTCAAGGTGAATATTCACAAATAAAACATTATGTCTGAAAACAAGGTTGGGCCCAAAAAGGCCCCTTGTCTGCAGGACTATATGTTGTATTTTACGCATGTACAGTACTGTATTTTTCCTGTTTTAAAACACACAACTAGTTCAAGGCAATTTTTTTGGTGTATTTTATTAAATTCACTAAGATGATTTCTAACACCCGGATGTCAATTTCGGTATTTCAGGACTAAAATGCGTTAAATTGTACTTATTTTAATTTTTCTTGCAAGCAAAAAGGGTGAGGCTCTGTGACGCAAGCATTTGATCTTCGTATCCATATTCTTGAGCATTGCCTTCGTGCTATTCTAAAAATTACCAAGCATTGCTTGTTGTAATAACCCTCAAATGCAGGCGTAACTTGGCTTCAAATTTTGTCCAAATTCGGAGAATTCGAAAAATAAAATAATGGTTGTAAGTAACGGTAGGTCGTGAGTGCCCGTGACTATAACGTTTTACAAAAAGAAAAATGGATATTGTGTAGATCAAAACATTATTACGTCACGTTTTAGAGGAAATCAACAGCGTCAAAAATGCTGTGACGGCATTGTTACTGTGAAGATTGTAACTGCAACAAAGATTTACGTCAACTTTCCGGAATTTCGACGCCGGAACTATTTACATGACGCTTCTTTATTAAAAATCATGAACATATTTAAAGAAAATGGCAGGTAATTGTCAAGTGGATAATTAATAGTTTTGTATAATTTTATATTTTTCAAATAATTGTGACTGAACAGTAGGAATTTTATCACAGACTCGTACTCGCACCAAACGCATCCTCTCAATTAAATTGAAGTAATAACGTTCAAATCTCACAAGATAATATTGAATTGTTACCTTTTTATTTATGGATATAGGAAAATGAGCAAATTAATTTTGAGAATGCGTTGCAAAATCTCCATTGTGGTGGCGATATTTAGTGAATAATTTTGAGTAGCATCATCATTCCATAAATACCATTAAAATCAAACAAAGATACTTTCCAATATCTGGTGTACAAATCATACGACGGAAATTGTTATTTAGACGGCATACTAACTCTTAATCGCTGCATTGCTGGAAACGTTCAGTAATTATACTACCGGCAATGTTTCAAAAATAATCTAATTATATCGCACATAGGCGTATTACAGTAATAGCCCATAAACATGATTACAAAAATACAATAAGCATGTTTCATTCGAGCAATATTTGCTCTGACAAATATGATTACTACAGTCAATTTGAAATTGTGCGTGGCTGCCATTGTTCTAATCTAATTCCTTTCTCTATTTTGGCGCGTTGTGAATACCGTTACACAATATTTAGCTTAGAGAGTATATCGGCGGGAGTTAGTTGATTCTTTTAGCTGGTAAACATAGTTTAATCACGATTCTGATGAACATGTGTATTGTCAACAACAAAGAATAAGGTATAAAAGGCGCACTTGAACAAGTCTAACATTTAATGTTCAGCATCGAAAAGAAACAACAACAAACTGAAGAATGAAGATACTTGTCGTTTTCGTCGCTCTGGCTTTTGTCTCTCAAGCTGCAGGTATGAATGCATATTGGTAAGGAGCATAAAGCATGACCGGACCCGGTCTTTGCAGTACACAAGTGCTCTTCAATTGAATAAATTATTTCTTATTTTTGATATGCTCCTGCCATTTGAAAAATGTGTTTTTGGGTGACAATCCTAAGAAACGATCCAGCTACAGAACTCTAGCAGTGACAACGTGGATATTTGTGTAATTTGATCGCCACGTTGATTGTGTCATAAACTTTAAATGCAATCTTTCTCTTTGAATTTTTCTCACAGTGATAAATGCAACAAAATGATACGATCTCATAATTCTTATTACGCAACAGTGCCTCTAGCGTATATTATGAAACAATAAATTTACATGTGTCCATACTATGTCGCAAACCCCCCATCTGTAACAACTAATTTGTCCAGCTTGACTCACTGGTAGTTATCACAACGAGATGACATCGTGATGAAATACTTATCAGGTGAATGTGATGGAGTTGATGTTGACGGTTCCTGTTACTTCTGGAAAGGAACCAAAGTAGGTGGTTTGAAGTTCAAAAAAGCCGAGGAGGCCTGTGCTGAAGAAGGAGGACATCTCGCGGAATTCCGAACCCAGCAAGCATATGACACAGTTCGTTTCTATTTGTTAGGGGTAAAGCCACAGACCATGCTTCTTATTGGAATGAAGTACAATGTAAGTAATCACATTATATAGAATATATGGAAACTGTTGAATCGTGTCTACGGAATAAACATCTTAAAAAACCACACGTTGTTTCGTATATCTTCCATTTAAATATATAATTTTCCTTCAAGGCGCGATTGATGTCGTCTTGTACTAAACACTAGAATGACTAAAAACCATACAATAAATGCTATCATATTTTGAAGGTTAGAAAAATAACGACATGTTAAAACGATTTGTTACGATGAAAATTTTTAACATCTGAATATAATTGGTTCCTTTTCAGTACAAGAAAAAGAATAACCCAGTAATGTTGAGATCCGGCAGTGCCATTACGTATAAACCTGACTGGTTTGAGAATCACCCCATTGACTCACACAAAAATGAAGAAATGGTAATCATCGCCAGCAAGAACAGTAAATTCAGCGGATTGATGAATTCCGAAAACGGTTGCCGATACGCTCTGTTTCTGTGCGAGATATCATTAGAGTGATCTGGCTATGACCTTAGAATGAATGGATCGACATTTAATATTGTTTTCAATATTTAATTTAATTATTTCATGAGAAAATAAAACATAATCTTGCATTAGTTACATGTTTATTTGAATGCAGTATATTGTAAAAGCACATTGCGAATAGAAGTGAACCAGAATAAGGCTATAGTCAAAAGAGTCTATTCATCTTGAGCTCATTCACATCTTGATCTGCCCACAGAACCTTCTGAGAATTCGCTGTGGTACTTTACCTATAGTTCCAAATATGCAATGTGTCAGATAATCTCGGGATGGGTGCTAGTTTGCAATTTTATAAGAAAGCAATATATATATGAAGAATAAAATATTTTACAGCCTTCAAATTAGCGAAATAACAAAAATAAAAGAATTACTAGCCGAAATGAGTAAAAACTTGTTCTCGATAAAGTACGGTCCACTGATAAATCATTTCGTTTTGTGTAATTGCTACAAGTTGTTATCAGGCAGACAATTCTAACGGTTAACGGTTTTTTTGTGAATACTAGCTGATTTCGTATTTTGTCGCAAACGTTCTTGGATATTCGTGCATATGACCGCATCTCCTAAATATGAATATGGATTAATGGCCGGAGGTCCTAATACATTTCCAAATATTTTTCCTTTACAATGACCTTGACTGTGAATTTATGCACGCTTGTGAATACAAATATTGACATGTACGAATGTACATAGGATTCATTCCGCATGTGTACAAATACATATATATACATACAAACATTAGGCTTGCCCGTATCAACTAGTATATAAGGATACTCAATATCGGATCCTTATCTTCCACAATCAATTTAACTATTTTCCAATTCCAATCAGATGTTTCAATCTTTCTACCAACATTTATAACTGAGAACATACATTAGAAAACTACATATCAACGAAAAAATCGTGTACAAAGTGTCGAATACATGTCTACGCAGGTAATGCAGAGTTAATTACAGTAATAACGCCCTAAAATTAATCTGCGTCTCATTGTTTCTCACAAAAGACATGTGCTTTTCGAGATGCTCATTTAATGTATATCTCAGCTAGTTCTGAAAAATGATTTGAATATTTTTCACTTTGGTGAGTTTGCGTTTCGATTCAGTTACAGCCCTAAAGTCGATGTGGCTAATAAAAACCCAGTATGATTGTTCACTTGGAACCGTTTCCGCAATATAAGGTTCAAAAGCCAGCATTATACTCAATAGACGTAAATGCAGAAGACGACAAAACATAACGACTGTGAACATATATGGAGGCAAAATAACACCGTCATGATGTAATGCGATTAGTGGTATACTTGTTTGACATATTGTATCAACATTGAGGGTACCGCTGAAATAATAACAGGTGCTACCCACGGAGGTGCCGTTCAAAATCTAACGGCAGTATTGACGAGATAGAAAGAAATGAAGCGGGCAGTGATTAGGGTTCCAAAAGGATCTTTTGTAGTAGAGACTTCAAATAATATCCCAGTTCCGCCCGAAAATGGAGCAATTGTAAAAGTGAGCTTCTCGTAGTGCATTTTAGGCTTAGAATAGAATAACATTGCCGCGACCATGGGCGGACAATGAAAGAATACTATTCAATATTTGTCAGAGAATTTCGAACCTAAGTTCCGTAAAGATTCGAATATTCTGTCGAATCGAGTTTTTCTTTCCCAGTAACAGCTCCAAAACATGTTGGTTAACAAGCGGTTGATAACATAGAATGAAGCTAATTGCTTGCATGGTGAAAATAGACGGATTATATGAAATTATCTGTATATATGAATATCATATTCAAATCTGTATTGAAACACTTCAAGCAACTCAATTTAAAAAAATTTAGTATTTGTCTACTCTTAATAAGATTAACGCATAGATGGATAACCCGAAGCAATCGGAATAGATTGACAAATCCATTTATTGGGCACGAAATGGACTGTTTTGGTATCAAAGTCTTTCTCATCAACTACTAGACAATTGCTTTAAAATTTGCAGTTGTTAAAGCTTGGTATTTTTGCTAGCCCTCGTGTCCATATATTTGAGCATTGCTCACTCGTTATTATTTCTAAACATGGTTCAATGAAATATTATAACCCTACATGATTACTATGTTAAAAAAGTAAACATAATAGATCACTGCGACGATATTTTTCCAAAATCACAAATGTAACGCCTCATGCAAAAAGAAAACGGTTTTTAAAAAAACAGTAATCTACTTGATTTCAGACAAAGTTTTGTGGAATATGCCATTCAGATCTTCACATGTGGGAAAAGGAAATAGTAGCATGCCCTAGTGTCTATGGTCATGAAGTTTCTGGAGAACTATATGCATTGGGAGATAAAGCAGGTTGGTTGCTGCTATAGCATATTTTTTTAAGCATTACAATTGCAACAGAATTAAGTTTTTAAAATGGGGATAAAAGTTGTATGTGGTTTGCTTACATGACCATTAAAATTTTAAACACACGTTTGCTTACATAGTAATTATTTATTATATAAATATATACTTACCTTACCAAGGAAAATTTTGTAATAGTCACAGAATAAGGGATTGAAAAATTTAAGTGCGAAACTGAGGAAATAATCTCAACCGCCCAAGACTTTTTCAACGACATTTTAGTAATTTATACCAACGTTACTGTTAATACAAAATTTTAACCCTGTCGATCAGTGACCACTCGCAACTCTGTCTTTTCACTTATTGTTGATATCACAATTTACAAACTTTAGAAATAGTCAATATGAATATTGGTGATAATGTCATGATATATCCATGGATGGGTTGTGGCAAGTGTGACGAATGCACGGAAGATAAAGATAATCTTTGCAACATAAGAACGCACGAAGTAGGATGTGGTGCAGATGGAGGGTGAGTTTCTTCGTCTCGCTAAAGCTGTGCTATTGAAGTTTATAAAGTTCACAGTTTGAGAATCAGTGAACTTTTTTGGGGGCTCCCGAAGTATGCGAACCAAGATGGCGGACATCAGAATGTAATATGTGTACTAGGTTAGGGTTAGGCCATAATTTTAGGTATAAATACTACGGGAGGCTCTTGGCTAGTCTTCGAACTGATAATAGGACTAAAATAAGGAAAATTGGAAAAAAATTATCGCCTAACTCTAACCTGTTACCCATGTTACGTTCCGATGTCCACCATCTTGGTTCGCATACTTCGGGAGCACCCTTTTTTGTTATATTCGAAATTCGCCTTCGTCGGCGCCATTTGGATGACGCAGAAGAAAGATCAACCCACAACAAATCATAAATTTGTGCACACGAGATGCCGGTATTTATTTCGAACGAATTATATTTTGACAGCCCATTTGGTATCAAAAGTCATGATGCAGGAAATTCGATCGCTTAATGACATGGCGATTATTTAGCATGTGTAATGTCTTGAAATTACTAACGTTCACGCCGAGCCGCACAAACAATTTAAAAACAACTCTTCTAATAACAATTTTAAATTTAATTCCAGGTACTCAAATTACGTTTCTGTTCCTGACACTAAATTTCTCATCAAGGTACCAGACTCAATTCCAATGGATGTTGCTTGTTTGTTACCTTGTTCTGGTGTAACCACGTATAGCGCAATTAAGAAACTCCGACCTTATATTGAGAAAATAAAAAGTACGTTGCTACGATTCAAATATATATATGTTTAAAAAGCTTTCTGCAGTGATACAAATATATAAGATTTGTTGCTAGGCCATACCGACTCATAATGCCTTCGGATGAGGTAGAAGATGAATGCATGGCAACGAACTAAGGTTGCTACCAATATGTGTATATAGGCCAGCAAAGTAATTAGCAAGGCATTGAACTCTCACCCAAATGGAACTTAATTACAAGCAGAGAATTTACAAGCGATAACTGACACGCCAAGATTTACATGTGAATACGATACAGCTACGCACACTTTAGCTATGTTGAACTCAAGTTAGCTGGCCGATTCACCAGTTCCGGGTAACACCCACCATCAAAACTCATTTTAGTCTATTATCCAATATCGTATGATAAATTCTGGGAAGAAATACTATTTTTGTTTTCAGGAAAAAGTAGTGTATTGATCGTAGGAGCGGGAGGACTGGGATTGTGGTGCTTACAATGGGCTAAAATATGTCTACCAGACAGAGTAAAAATCGTATGTGCTGATATAAACGTGAGTATCAATCATTGATTATCAGGCTTGTCCAAGGGACACATTTTTCTGTCCCATCCCATGGTAATTTAAGCCTGCCCCATCCCATCCCATGGGATTTCCATTGGAAATACTTTTCAATAAAAAATTCTGAATTTAGGTTTATTGACTTTGTTAACTTCAAAAATTCAGAACTATATATCACTAACAAGAGAACTATGCTCAAATACATGGACACGATTATACGAAGTCCATAGCGAAATATTTGCCGTCAATTCCCCGAAAATAATACGGTATACGGTAATTTTGGATGAAATATCAGATCTCATAGCATTCATAGAAAATTTAGAAGAAAAAGTAATGGTTTAAAAGGAAAACGATTTTGCAATCGCAATCTTTGTACTTTGTGCCACGATAACATCAATACCTAGACTTTTTTCCGGAGCAGTGCATCCAGTTCAAAAAACGCCCTGTTAGCTATCGTCGGCGACGTAGCGTAATTGAAGGAGTGAATCCGCAACTTGAATTTTCGACTGAAAAGAAGGGAATGAATACCGAGACTGAAAAATGGTGCTATAAAATACTATGAATAAAACAAAAAATATAAATAACTTTTTTTTTGAGAGCTCCGTGACAGATAAAAAATAAACGCTATTTTAACAGGAAAATTTTCGTATGTACCACACACATTATACCAAGTTTCCTCTAGAAACAACACCATAATCACAAAGTTGAAAGACAGTTAATTATTAGCGCGATGTATCTTCTTATACATTCTTGAAATAACGCCGGGGTCGCACTCGACTTTTTCCCTCAGAATATGATGATATGAAACTAATCAATGTACTACAATAAATTGTACTGCTTCGTATTTTCTCGCAGATCTCGTGGTTTTTCTAACGATGGTATTTTAAAATTGATCTCTCGTGGCAGCACTTCAATAGAGCAAGCCAGTACTGCACGGGCAGCTAAAATTTGGCGGATTTGCATAATGGCAAAAATATGAACTAAAACTAGATATAATCAGGCAGTTTACCACGCATACTATTTGAATACAATGGTAAATGAGAACGCAACAAAAACGGAAACGGTGAGGACATTCATAATTCAGAGTAAAATTACAATTAAAATTACGATATCGTGAGCTACACAACATGTCAAACTTGTAATATAAACGAGAGGACATCAAACACCGATTGGCAGGAAATTCAAATCACTTATAATGTACCATGGAAAATAGGTTCAGAATTTTATTCTTCAAGAAATTTGGCAACCAATTGATTACAGATGGACAAATTGAAAGTTGCTTCAGAACATGGCGCTGATGACGTTATATGCTGGTCGACACAAAAAGAAGAACGTTTAGTTTCAGATGAAGACATCACAAAAGAGTTGATGGAGAAGTCAAATGGAGGATTTGATGGTGTTATTGACGTTGTCAATTCCAGCATGACGTCGAAAAGGGCATTTTCAGCATTGAAGCGGGTAAATAAAAACCATTTATTTATAACCCCAACGTAGAGAACTTATTTATCTGAATTTATGGTGATTTGTATGCTATTTTCATTTATATAGACAGAAATGTCGTTTTCTTAAATTGGTTTAATCATCCATTATACTTTTCTTCTACAGAACGGTACTCATGTTATGATTGGTTTGTATGAAGGATCGATGAGCATCCCTCTAAGACCTATGGTTCTGACTATGAAGAGAATATTAGGATCGTATGTTGGGAGTATACAGGAACTGAATGAATTGGTGAAAATGATAGAAACAAGAAAGGTATCATCGATTGTATTAATGCGTTGGATGCTAAGTTCAGAGAGAAAAATCAAGCGTGAGAAAAATATTATTACAGAAATAAGAAATGTTTTGACTATAGTGTCAGATCAATGTATATATTCTCATTGTTCAGATTCATATATATTCGTTTCTTTGACCGACAAAGTTGCTTTGACCAATTGCTTTGAAATTTTCAGTGGTTAAAGATAAAATATTTTTTCAGAATGCTATTATTACTTTTATTTATTCCTAAATTTTCTAAGAATCTTATGAAATATGATATTTCATCCAAATTTGCGCTGTATTGTTTTTTAATTATGGGAACACGGTTTTTAATTCGCCAAGCGTGACGGCTGACTGTGAAAATTCTTGCGATTAAAAACTCGGAAGTTTTTTGAGGGTACGTTACCGGTAATGTCAAAGGTAAGGACTGCTTCGCTCTGGTCCACGTGTCCATCATTTTGAGCGTTGCTCTCTTGTAATTAGCAAATTAGCGTTTTTGATATTCAAGTTTCAACTGTTTTTGCTTTAATATAGGTGAAACCACCTCCAATTATTCCGTACAAACTGGAAGAAATCGAGACAGCGTGGGTAGCACTAAAATCAGGAAAAATGCCCGGAAGAGGCGTTATTCGGTACTGAATGAATTCGTGAATGATACAATAAAAAGATTTGGTTGTGCATTCTCTTTTAAGCAATGTCATATAGGGTACTTATTTTATGTATTGCGGAGGAAATACTAGATCATACTTTATTTAGGCTGCAGGTGATAAACATGCTTCAAGTCAGGGGTGTGCAACCTTTCATACAGGAGGGCCAGTACCCTTATTTAACAAAGACATCCTAGTAGTTGCACGCACAAAAATTTTGGGTATTGATCTTATGACATGCGTTGTTCGACTCAGTTCTAGGCTATACAACACAACGGAGTTGGAACACGTTTCGCGGGCTGGGCAACATTTAAAACAGGCCCTTCTCCGCGGGCCGCACAGTTTTCCCTTGTATGCTGCTTTTGGCCCGCAAGTTTCACACCCCTTCTCTGAGTCAGCACTCCTACCAAAACCCTTATTTTGAGTATTATTTGCCACTGATTTTGAGAACAAAGAATAAAGTATCTCCCGTCAGGTAACAGCTACTATAATAGAAAACACTGCGAATGTGTAGTCTCATTCCTACCAATTTTGTTGTACCTGGATTGACGGCGTAGTTAGTTATCGAACTGAGATTCAAAGTGGATCAATTTTTGCAACAGCAACGATAAATCTTGAAAAATATTAATATGATATGGGATAAAATGTACGACGAGATTATAAACAATATTTTACGGATAATTTCAAATATTGAAGAAAACAGAACATTGTTAGCTTCTGAACCCGGAGGCAACCAAATGTGTATACTGTAAATACATTTGTCAACTTTAAGCTGCTTTCGGCGACCAATTTATTAATACTTCAAAAAGCCTTATGCAAATTTGGGAGATATCGAATGATAAAAAAAAATCGTACAGATCATGAAGAATTAGTTCAAGCAATACATAATTAACGTATATCTGATGTTATAGTGTGATGTTATATATATGTGTATAAAAAGTTGAGTAAGCTAGAAATACAAGACAATTTTCGGGAAGCCAACAACCCATCGCTTCAACATTTCTGTATAATCATAATAAAGTTAATAATGAGTATATATCATACTTCATTGACATATTCGAAGGATCCATGCATTTTGTGATAGCGATTGTGAGAGTAAAACATTTAATTTCTAATAATAGAAAGCAACATTATATCACTTTTATCATGATTTTCTACAGTGGTAAAATTATACATAATGAAACGTTTAGAAATTCCGAAACCGAAAGATCCAATGGTTGTTCGGACGTTTGATACAATACCAAGTCCACCCGAGGGAGGTGTGGTTATTAAGGTGAGAAATAGGTGAATAAAACTAGTGTAAACAGGGCTGTGGACTCCAAAATTTAAACTACGCTTTTAAAAGAAAATCACTCCAGGTCGATGGAAATAACAACTCCAAAATCACGAAAAAATTATATATTGACAACAGAAAACTTTGGCATCCTTCTAATGAATAAAATGTTAAAAACGGCGCCTTTTTTATTTTTGTAAAAAATTTTGATCTCAATTATCACTATTAAACATCTGAAATACCGAATTTAATGAGTTTAGAATTGTAATTTTATTGAAATTAGCTATTTCAGGACTGAATAGGTTAACATAAAATTTACGATACTAGATTTTTATTAAGCACTCTTGATTCTGATTATTGTTGCTATATTTTGTAGGTGGAAAAAATAAACGAAATAAATTCTTATCATTTTACACAACGTTGATTATATATGTATGCATTTTAGCACGTTTCGCAGACAGCAGCAAATAAGCGCTATAAAAAAATTACGAATTTTTTCTCAAACTTATCTACCGATTACACTAAACACACATGATATATATTCCAGACTGCTTTCTGTGGTATTTGTCACTCCGATCTCCACTTTGTTGACGATGAATGGATAATAGGAAATCATGACAAAATAACTTGCGAAGAAATGAATCCTCGGCTTCAATATCCTCTCGTACTGGGACACGAAATATCGGGCATTGTTCACGCAATTGACGGGGACGAAAAGGGTAAAGTGATGAACTGTTTGGAGTTGGATGAATCCTTTTTCCTAAAACGGTTTCAAATTTTTTCATGCGTTTACACATTTATATTCATGGTTGAATAAGCCAAAGAAAGAGAATATAGAGCCAGAGAATATAATCTCCATACGTATAAGATAAATTTTTTAAGGTGATTAACTATAGATTCCTATCCCCACGAGTCCTGCACAGACCTACCACGATGAAAACCGAAAAGAACTCTTGATATTACCATATATTTTTTAGACGACCTCAAAGTGGGAGATAGAGTAATTGTTTATCCTTGGCTTGCATGTAATAATTGTGACTTCTGTGCTACTGATTTTCCAAACTTTTGCTACGGCCCATCCTACAGTATTGGTTGCTCTGGATCAAACGGCGGGTAAGAAAATTTGCATATTGAACAAATAAGTGAAAAACACTTTGTAGTTGTCAGTGCGTTATAAACACTACTACACCCGAGATTCTCTTATATAATAACGGCTGAAGATGATGTTCTATAAAAAAAATGCTTAGTTATATGATGTCTGGAATGTTGATATTAGTTAATCTTTGTTCAGCAAAAGCGGTTAAGATTTAGAGATATACTTGAGTAGGCAAATCTCTCAGTGTTTAACTGACGCGTGTATTCACGAATTTCAGTAACTCGTGTCACCATTTGCTTCAGAAGTATATTAGTTGATGTGTTGTTCATTTATCAATATGAACTGATATTTAATTTTTTTTGATTCTAAGTTATGCGCAGTATGTCACAGTACCAAAGAAGAGTTTCGTATTAAAGATACCCGATACAATACCGTTAGATATTGCCTGCATGTTGCCTTGTTCTACGTTAACCGGATATAATGCTGTAACTAAAGTAAAATCCACTATCGAGAAGTTTATCAAACTTCAAGGTAAGATACTATAAGTGAAAAGTGGTTGCAAATATATTTTATTAAAGATTCTGAGACTTGTATTCAATTCAATATTTGTGCTTCAAACTATACGATCACAATTATCCAATTCAAAATGGGTGTGCAAAGATATACATTCTGTTTTTTTTTAATATGATTTATACTAATATATAAACTAATATTAAATTAAATTATACACTACAGATCAATACCCGATTACTTGCTATCAATTGCGCTTATGACATCTACATACCGAGGTGAAAAGTACTAGTTCTAGATCAATTAGTTCTACGAGTAAGCAATCTTTCACATTGAGTCTACCGGTACCGCAGTCTCCACGATTTCACCTGACCACCAAACTGTAACGCAGGCGAACGTGGAACTGCCACGAGGTGCGCTTTTGAAATAAATAAAAGAAGCAGCCTTCTAGCGACAAATACAATCTTTAACCACTGAAATTTGAAGAAAATGGTCCAGTAATTTTAAAGAAAATAAGATTTTTTCCTAACAACAAAATATCAAAACAATCCATATGTACACTTCGTGTTTTATAAATGCATTATGAATATGTGAGGATAACAGCGATCCACGGAAAGAGAGCATTTCAATTAAATTGAACCGCAGTAACACCACCCAATAAGAACGTAAATAGGAAGTATGGAACTTACAATGGGTCATTGTCAAAATCACAATACAACAAAAATTTGAAGATTTCAAATGAAGTTGTTAAAATCATAATTTTTATCATTTTCGTGTTGCACTTTTTAGGAGAGGCTACGTTGCTCATCATTGGCACTGGGGGATTAGGATTATGGTGCCTGCAAACAGCCAGGGCGTCTCTGCCGAAAGGCACTCGCATCATATGTGCGGATATAAATGTAAGTCACAATGAAACGTGATTTTTACGTGGTCTGTCCGTGAACCTCGAAGAGAATATCTCACAAATACTGCATTAATTGACAGCTATAGGCATCACAAATTATGAAAAAAACTGTATTATCTCGAAATATGAATTAGATATCCAGTCGGTACCCATAGAAATTATCTATACAAATCTATGCATCAAAAAAGATGTAGTCTGGCAGAACCTCGTTTCAGGACATAACGTGTTTTTATTGTTTAGCAATATTCTTGATGACATAAATATTGATATCCAGGTGGGTGTGGAGCTCCTAATGTTGAGCAATTTTTTTTAAATAAATTTTTATTCGCATACATAAGCGAAAATTCAACCCTCCAAAAATCTGCATTCTCAAATATTATTCAATATTTTTCTGTTTATATAAACAAATATGTCATAACTACGTAAGTATTTTTTAGAGAAAAACAACTTTAAAATTTTTTTAACGATGTTCAGAAATTTTGTTCTGATATCACAAATGGTGGAATATTTCACTCATAAGATGTATTGGGGAATATTTTATTAGGTGAAATAGATCGGAAGATTCGACCGTTACATGTTTAGGAGCGGTTTTGAAGAATGCAATCTCATCCCTTTTTACATCGACCAACACAGAATATGTTATTTAAACGCGGTGGTTTATACGTGGTAACGTGCATAGTTTCGGCGCTCAAGCACCAAGTTTCACTCCTATAAAAACCTATAGATAGGATATCTACAGGGCTTCTGTTTATGATTGACAATCATTTCATTTCACGCTGAAAGAATCAAAATTGCAAACTCCACACCCACGTGGAAACGACTGGTAATAACCCCAGGGTGAAAAATCACGAATTAAAAAAAATACTGTCTGAAAACAAAGTTGAGCCCCAAAACGACTCTTGGCTGTCGGGTTAAGCCACTCAACGCTCATTCTGTAAAATGATTTAGGACAAGATCTATATATATGTTACAAACAAACGATTCTTTGTCATATGTTAAACAAAATTCTTGTTTGATCATATCTAGCAATCGAAGCTGGACAATGCCATCGCGCATGGTGCTGATGATTGTGTGCTGTGGGATAGATCCCTTAGCAAAGACGATATTATTAAATTAACAAAAGAAAAGGGAAACAATGGATCGATTCATGGTGTAATTGATTTTGTCAACTCAAGCACCACGGCTTCACAAGCTATGGAATGTCTTTGCAAGGTAAACACATTACAAACCTTTATTGGGGTCGTATTATATTAATTTAAAGCCTCACATCCTGTGGTCGAAACGTGCAGCTGATCGTCTTCTGTCGTCATAAACCAAACCTCCGCGTTTCCTTATTCGTGAACTGCGCTGATCTTAATTACAAGCTAAAGATTTGTCCTCATATTATAAACTAACCAATTCAAGCTGTTTTGGTTCATCTTGTTATCAGGGAGGTGCCATCGCGTTGGTCGGATTATTTGGAGGAACAGTGGAATTATCATTGCCGTTGTTTGCATTTTCGCTTCATGAAATATACGGAATAGCTATCGGATCTATTAATCAACTGAGAGAATTGATTGATTTGGTAGCAAATACAAAGGTATATAGGGAATTTTGTAAAATAATGTAGCTATAAACTTGATCTGGTTCATAAGGTAATTATAAAAAATATTGCGGTAAAAAAGGACTGACACGTGTTCATGTATATTGTAGAACAATGGATACATTTTTAGAATATTTCAAGATATACCACTTGTCCGAGGGCAAACAGTAGAAGTAAGCATAAAATTCATGCCTGTGATAAATACGAGTTACGATAGATATAATACTATTGTACATGATTAAGGTATATATATATATATATATATATTTAAACAGATACGTTGAATTAATGTATATTTTTTATCAATCGCAGCTCATTCCACCAGACATTACGCATGTTTCGCTTGAAGAAGCCCCGGATAGTTTAATAAAATTGAAGAAAGGACAAATCGCAGGAAGATCTCTAATAAAATTTTAAACGAAGTGGATATTATTGAATAAGCAATTTGGGAAATGCGAACTGTAGCTATATAGTATAACTGAATGATAATTATTTTTTCTTGGTGGCCTACACCAGAATGCACTTGCTTAGTGACCAAAGTGAACCGCTGGTGGTCACATTTATCCAAATGATTATGATACACACTTTGTACCTGATATCTTTTTATTATATAAAATCACCTTCGAGTTAAACAATTAGAATAAAATTTTGATTTGATTACATCCTCATTTTGCGAAAATTGTAAATGGGGCCGCTGCTATGCTTACACTCAGTTAACAAGGAACGCAAGCTTTAGGAAGCAACGTATAGTTATTTGTGGAACATCTTATGTCGAATATTACTGTGGATGAATTGAAACAGATTCATAACGTCATACAATATTCCCGCCCATGCTGATTTCGAGATTTTTTGCTAGGGGTGCAATTGCTATCGTATACAATATAATATGGTGAACAGGAGATTCTGATTAAAAACTATATGCTCTTCATGACACTTCAAAGATTTGATGTGGCTGAATGATATGGGGTGATAAAAGATCCAAAGTGAGATTGAGTCTAAATGTAATTTTTCAAAGCCGGGAATTTCGGTCCTTTCAAAATTAGAAACCACATATGATAAACTCAGAAACATGTTCGTTTTCACTAATGTTTGATCACGCTCGCATGATGACTGTAAAATGATATTGCTGACTGTAGAGCAGTGGTTCTCAACCGGGGGCCGGTGCCCCCCTAAGGGGGCCACGAAGCAGTTCAAGGGGGGCCACGACACAAAGCTAATAATTGATCATAAAACGACTTCGTTTGCATGCTTTCCTTTTAAAATAATTTCCTGTTCAGGCGTTCACCCAACTTAGATTGCCAGAATAGATCGATTATTTGCTATCACATGGTGTATTCACTTTCTTGTGCGTGAATCGTTTGATCATAATGGAATTTGGAATCTACAAATCAAAATAGTTTGCCAGTAGGCCTTATACCTGCAAACGAACAGTTTCACTCGACTGGGAGATAACTTTGCTATCGTATTATAGACGCAAAAATCCATTTATAAATTTCTAAAGCCCAAAATACGAAAATGCGAACGACAGTTACTTTGGCTTTACCGAAGTAAATAGAGATGACAGAGAATGTGATCAAACAAAGCCTTTATGCGTTATGCGTTCATCTAAACTCCAAAACCACCATGACTAAAATCATTCTCAGGTGAACGACGTTGACATCAGTTTTTTTTTTCTGCCAAGAGGGTTAGATTTGACAGGAAAGCAAAATTGGCCAAGTTTGGGATTCTGTCGAAGAAAAAGCCTAGCAGTCCCAATCGCAAGATTCCCTTGAATTGTATACTAAAAAACTTATACTATTTTGTCTGTGGTTTGCTGTTGCATTCCATAATAGGTCGTAAAAACATTATACAATTCTATACATTAATTTTTTTTCGGAATGGCGAACAGGGGGGCCACGAGTGCAAAAAAAATCGGACATAAATAGTATAAAAAATGTAACGGACTTCTTCATTTCATTCGTGCTGTGATCAACGACGCGGGTCTCGTCAGATATTACTAAGTAGAATTCCTGGGCAATGGGATTTCAAGTAGCTGTAAAACGCAGCGACATGGTCATTTGTAGCTGATTAGCTATATAGCGTGCTTTTGACTTATTAGCATGCCCTTATAAGAAAACTAAGTATAAAGCAGGCTCTGTATGCAGAAAGTTTTTTTTTTTTCGAAAGTATGAAAGTTTTGAGCTCACATTTTTTCATTCATATCTTAAGTTTCACAACTAAAAAAATGACTTCGCTTACGTTCACGGTACAAGATAACTTAATTTGAATTTATGTAATATTTTCAACAGAGTAGAACACTTATTTTTATAAGTTGAGTAATCAGACACGAAACTCAGAATCCATCATGAAACGAATGGGAATTTCTTTTTCGGAAGAACCAATGGCACTAAAATACATTGATACGGTACCAAAACCGCCGAAAGGCGGAGTTACAGTTAAGGTAAAGAACAACTGAGTCAATTAGCTTATTAGTAATAACTACAAGTTTGTGACGTAATTGCATTATATATATTCTGGTACGTTTAGGTATTTATGTCAAAATATTTATCTATCTTGACGCCAGGGTCCTATATCCCTATTAATGTTCAATTGTTGTAAAATTATATTTCATTACAAGTTATCAATATTTTGCTAACATGGAATCAATAAGTTTATATATAGGTGAATGACTTAGGTTTACTGTCGTAAAAATCTTTGCATGGATAGGTTTTGCAGTCAGACATCAAAAATGTAAATGAACTAGTTTACTCACATTGAATCTACAAAATTCAACAACGGTATCCCTTGATATTATACACTATCAACAATTTTATCTTATCGAAGAAAATTCTTGAATAAGAGTGATCTTACATGCGGGAAGTAAATATTTATTTAAGAATGTAAAATATCAGGTTCAGCGAACGACACTACAATGAATTGCACATAGGGATGGCGGAATCGAATCCGATGCATTGGAATCGATTCTCGAGGTTAAAACTTGGATTGAAAACAATGTGTAACGTTTTGGGGCAATTCCTTCACATATATGTGTAAACTGCTTTACTGCTATGTTGAGGTTTTTTTTTCTGTGATTTTGTCTTCTGTGACAGATTGGATACCCATACTTCTTAGTTTGGGCCTTCTTTTTCGTCCATATATTTGAACATCGCTCTCTTGTTTGACTTCATATGGTATTGCTTGGGTGAGCATGTTTTCTCGGAACGATATGTCGAGGAATCGAGAATCGGAATCGAATATTTAGGAATCGGATAAAAATCGAATACTTGTCACACTTAGCATCCATACTTGCACACGGATTTGTTGCAATCGAATTTCGAAGTAATTTGAGCGTTACAGAAAGGCCTATTTCACTGTGGTGAAAATATTAACATGAATGGCTATTGCAGTCAGACATAAAAGATGTAAACGAACTAGTTTACTATAACATCGTATCTTCAAAATTCAACAACGTTATCTCTTGATATTAGTCTTATCAAAGGAAATTATTGAATAAGAGTTATGTTACAAGCGGAAATAAATATTTATTTTAGGATGTGAAATGTCACGTTCGGCGTACGACACTGCATTGAATTGCACACGGATTTGTTTCAATCGAATTTCGAAGTAATTTGAGCGTCGCAGAAACAAAATTCACGATCTCTATGTGCCATAGTCTGAACAAGCTGATCTGGTTTCTAAGGTAATTATAAAAAAATATTGCGGTACAAAAATACTGACACGTAATATTTCAAGATATATATATATATATATCAAGTACACTTGTCATGGGGCAAACAGTAGAAGTAAGCATAGAATTCATGCCTATAATAAATACGAGTTACGATAGATATAATACTATTGTACATGATTAAGGTATATATATATATATATATATACTTATTCAAACAGATAAGTTGGAATTAATGTATATTTTTTATCAATCGCAGCTCATTCCAACAGACATTACGCATGTTTCGCTTGAAGAAGCCCCGGATAGTTTAATGAAATTGAAGAAAGGACAAATCGCAGGAAGATCTCTAATAAAATTTTAAACGAAGTGGATATTATTGAATAAGCAATTTGGCAAATGCTATCTGTAGCTATGTAATATAACTGAATGATAATTATTTTTTCTTGGTGGCCTACACCAGAATGCACTTGCTTAGTGACCAAAGTGAACCGCTGGTGGTCACATATATCCAAATGATTATGATACACACTTTGTAACTCATATCAAAGCAGTTCAAGGGGCGCCACGACACAAGGCTAATAATTGATCATAAAACGACTTCGTTTGCATGCTTTCCTTTTAAAATAATTCTCTGTTCAGGCGTTCACCCAACTTAGATTGCCAGAATAGATTATTCGCTATCACATGGTGTATTCTCTTTCTTGTGCGTGAATTGTTTGATAATAATGGAATTTGGAATCTACAAATCAATATAGTTTGCCAGTAGGCCTTATACCTGCAAACGAACAGTTTCACTCGACTGGGAGATAACTTTGCTATCGTATTATAGACGCAAAAATCCATTTATAAATTTCTAAAGCCCAAAATACGAAAATGTGAACGACAGATACTTTACCGAAGTAAATAGAGATGACGGAGAATGTGATCAATGTCTTTATGCGTTATGCGTTCATCTAAACTCCAAAACCACCATGACTAAAATCATTCTCAGGTGAACGACGTTGACATCAGTTTCTTTCCTGCCAAGCGGGTTAGATTTGACAAGAAAGCAAAATTGGCCAAGTTTGGGATTCTGTCGAAGGAAAAGCCGAGCAGTCCAAATCGCAAGATTCCCTTGAATTGTATACTAAAAAGCTTATACTATTTTGTCTGTGGTTTGCTTTTGCATTCCATAATAGGTCGTAAAAACATTATACAATTCTTTACATTTATTTTTTTCGGAATGGCGAACAGGGGGGCCACGAGTGCAAAAAGACGCCGGAAGGGAGCCACGAGCCATAAAAGGTTGGGAACCACTGTTGTAGAGTATGATGAACACGTCCGGAGAATAAATTTTGCTTCCATTAATGTTTCAAATACACTAATGAAAAATAGTAGGTGAAAGATCTGACGCAATTCTGACATAAATAGTATAAAAAATGTCACGGACTTCTTCATTTCATTCTTGCTGTGATCGCGGGACGCGGGTCTCGTCAGATATTACTAAGTAGAATTCCTGGGCAATGGGATTTCAATCAGCTGTAGAACGCAGCGACATGGTCATTTGTAGCTGATTAGCTATATAGCGTGCTTTTGACTTATTAGCATGCCCTTATAGGAAAACTAAGTATAAAGCAGCCTCTGTATTCAGAATTTTTTTTTGCCATGAAAGTATGAAAGTTTTGGGCTCACATTTTTTCATTCATATCTTAAGTTTCACAACTAAAGAAATGACTTCGCTTACAATTACGGTACAAGATAACTTAACTTGAATTTATGTAATATTTTCAACCTTTTTTATAAGTTGAGTAATCAGATACGAAACTCAGAATCCATCATGAAACAAATGGGAATTCCTTTTTCGGAAGAACCATTGGCACTAAAATACATTATACGGTTCCAAAACCACCGAAAGGCGGAATTACAGTTAAGGTAAAGAACAACTAAGTCAATTAGCTTATTAGTAATAACTACAAGTCTGTGACGTAATTGCGTTATATTCTGGTACGTTTAGGTGTTTATATCAAAATATTTATCTATCTTGACGCCCGTGGGCCGTAGTTTGGTGACCCCTGCTTTAGAGCGCGCCCAATGATGAAGTTTCCCATTTCCGCTTCGAATCGATTCGTAAATCCAAAAGTGGCATCCCTATTCATGACACTTTAAAGATTTAGTTTGATTGAACTGAACTATATGGGTAATAAAAGATTCGAAGTGAGATGGCAATCAAATCAAACATTTAATGCCAGTACTTGAATTATGCGTACGAAATAGAAGTTGAGGGCACGTCTGTGAGGTCGGAATTCGGCGTTACTGGCTATAGACTGAGTGATATTTCAAAACTTTCGACTTTGGAGTCTAAATGTAATTTTTTTAAGCCGAGAATTTCGGTACTTCTGAAACCAGAGACCACATATGAACTAAGAAACATGTTCGTTTTCACTAATGTTTAACCACACTCGCATAGTGATATTGCTGGTGGGCAATTTAATAGTGTAGTGTATGATGAACACAGACGGAGAATAACGGGTTTTTGCTTTCATAAATGTTGAGCAAACACAGTAAACAAATATTACGTGAAAGGTATGGCCCAATTCATACAAAAAAAAATAGTATAAAAAGTGTAAAGGATTTCTTAATTGCAGCCACATTTTCAACGATGCGTTGCGTTGTGATCAATGACGCGAGTCTTGCGAGATATTACTAGGTAGAATTGCTGTGCTAAGGAATTTCCAACAGATGTAAAACGCAGCGACATGGTTATTTGTAGCTGATTAGCTATAGGGCATGCTTTTTACTTATTAGCATGCCAGTATAGCAGGGATGTGCAACCTTTTTCACTGGCGGGCCAAATTCAAGTAACTGAGTGAAGCCTCGAGCCGCACTGTTATTTAATATAGACTTTCTAGTAGTTACAGGCACAAAATTGTTTATTTTTGCTAGTCACCGTACGGCATTATTAGGGCTCCTATAGAAATAGTGAGTTAAACGCATAAACTTCTGAAGGGACTGCTATTTAAATTTATCGCCGCACCGTCTTTAATTCAATTCAGTGGAAAACACGTTTTTGTAATAAATATTGTATTTTTTGCAACAGAATTTTGCTAGCTAGTTTTGCTAATATGACAATGGCACTCAGGTTCTGGTATAGGCTTTATGGCGCAGAAGGATCAGAATTGCTCGCACGTACCAGATTACATAAACTAAATACTCGGTTCGCGGACACACCATTCAAAATTGTTATTTTTCCGCGGGCCCCACAAATTTTTCCTGCGGGCCGCATTTGGCCCGCGGCCGCAGTTTGCACACCCCTGCCTTATAGGAAAACTAGATATAAAGCAGGCTCTGTATGCAGAAATTTATTTCACATATAGGTGTGAAAGTTTTGGGCTTACATTCATATCTTAAGTTTTAGAACTTAAGAAGTGAGCTCGCTTACATTCACGGTACAAAATAAAATAATCTAAATTAATGTAATATTCTCAATAGTGAGTAGAAACTTTTTATTCATAAGTTGAGTAATCGGACACAAAACTTAGACGAATTCATCATGAAACGAATGGAAATTCCTTGTTCGAAAGAACCAATGATATTAAAAGACATTGATACGATTCCAGAACCACCGAAAGGTGGAGTTACAATTAAGGTAAAGAACAGTTTGGTCGATTAGTTTGTTAGCAATAACTGCAAGTATGTGATTATATACGTATATGTATTTATGTCGGAATATTTATATATATCTTGATGCCAGGGTTCAATATCCCCTTTGTTGTTAAGTATCACTGTTTTGTAAAATTATATTTCATTATAAATTATCTATGTTTTGCTAACATGGAATCCATAAGTCTATGTACGAAAAAAGAGAATAATTTGTTATCAATTTTGGCCCGATGTTTTTAGGTTTTTATTTTGCACTGTCGCGAAATAGTATACTATAGTTGTCTGTTAATATATACAATCAATCCCAAAAGAATTCCAGTCAGAGTTATACATCAACAACCTAAAACAAATCTCAAGTATATCGACGATTTGAATTCCATATTGTGAAATGATTTGACATTCTTGTGAAACACACTTTTGTTTTAATCCAGGCAGCTTTTTGTGGAATATGTCACTCAGATGTTCACATGTTCGATGATGAATTTGATATTGGTGGAGGGATATTTCTGAAGACACAGGATATCAATCCAAATGTAGAATATCCAATCGTGCTGGGGCATGAAATATCTGGGACCGTTCATGCTATTGGAGAAGAAGCCGGTGAACGCGTAAATTTTTATAAAATACAGTATTTCAAATGATGATAGTAGAAGTAGACAATAAAATATGACACAAATGCAATTGTTGATGAGTGCAAATGTATATACCGTAGTTCTTGAACCGAATCAAAAATGGTTTAGCGCCGTTTTAAATGAACACCAAAATAAAGTAGCGACAAGGCTATCATTCAGACCATACAATCATATTCAGGAGATGATTTTAATAAATTTGTATTTAGATAATACGGACTTGAAAGTTGGTGACAGAGTTATTGTCTATCCATGGCTTGGCTGTAGTGACTGCGGATTATGCGATGGAGAACAAGCAAATTTTTGTTGTGGACAATCAAATTATATTGGATGCTCTGGACCTAATGGCGGGTAAATATCTTATGTTGAGCTTCACTCACTCACTATATATCAAATTTGGGTGGTATGTTTCGTTTTATTCTTTCCTATTTTTACACTTTATTTGTTTTTGACAAAATAAAAATCATTCAATTGTATGCATTTCTTGCTCTAGATATTCTGAGTACATGAAAGTTACCAACCCAAAATACGTGCTAAAATTGCCTGACAATATACCATTGGATATCGCAGCAATGCTGCCATGTTCAGCACTAACCGGATATAACGCTGTATCTAAAGTGAAACCAACAATAGAAAGATTCATCAACGCCAAAGGTATATCATTGTATTTCAGTCTTTTAGTTTGTAGAAGGCCTATAATTTTAACCCGTACTTCTCGGTTCGGTACAGTTCAAAATAAATATTACATACAAAGGTTGAATGATTTAGGTTTACTCCCGTGAAAATATTTCTATGGATGGCTATAGCAGTCAGGCGTCAAAAATGTAAACGATCTTGTTTACTAACATTGAATTTACAAAATTCAACAACGCTATCTTTGATATGCGCTATCAACAATTTTGTCTTATCGAAAAAATTCTTGAATGAGAGTGATCTTACATGGGGAAAGTAAATATTTGTTTTAGAATGTAAAATATCCGGTTCAGCGAACGGCACTGCAATGAATTACAAACGGATTTGTTTCAATCGCATCGAAGTAATTTGAGTGTCGCAGAATATAAAACCCACGATCTTTGCGTGTCACAGTCTGAACAAGCTCCATTTGGTAGCTAACTGATCTATGCCTCTTGGAGTGTTTCAGTCGTTCTTTTACCTCTATTATATAATTCAAACCGATGTTATATATGAAACATACCTAATGCAATACAGTAATCCGAATGACGCATATAATAAAATTTCCTAGCTTCGCTGTTTCATTATGCTTTGATACTTTGACATATTATCAGTCGTGAAATTGCGGTACCTGTTAAGGTGTTACTAATTTATTGTCAGCTCCTGTGCAGTGATACGAGACTATAAAATTATCGTGTTGGCACCGAGCGGTGATAAGAAACTTACATAGCAAATAATGAACAATTGAATTTAAAACGAAATGGGAGCAATCATCTGATTTTCTATATAAAGTTCGAGGTTTTTACCACTACAAAGGCGTACCGACAATTGAAAGAATGTTTTATTAAAATCAAACAAAGAGACAGACGATTTAACAATGATACATCAAATATAAAATACCGCATACATACAATACTACTAATGTATAATGTACCAGTTACATTTATTAAACAAGTTTGAGCAAATCGATTCGCTAGACCTCATCTGTAAGGCAGAATCACAAGCTGCCATTGGCAGGCCGGCATTTTTATAACTGTGTATCCTTGAAGGTGACCGTACATTTGAACCCATGTGTATATCCGTGGGTTCAATCTATATGCGTGTGCTAAAACCCATGGGTTAGGGTTAGTAGGAGTTCAAATATCTGCAAAACAAAAAATTTCCATAGGTGCAATAGTCGGTTCAAATGAACAGGAACCATCCTTGAAAACTAGATGATAGTAAATAAATTACGTTCACATAACAAATCATTGAAGTACACATGTCCACGACCATGTAATGACCATTTATGGACGTTACCCTTCTCCAATACAAAAAGTAGCAAGAGTATTGGTGTCGGCTGGTAGTGATTATTAATATCATGTTCTCACAAGTTAATATAATTCTATAACATTGATATACCAGAAATAATTTGAAGCATCTGCTAGACTTTGGACATTAATCATGATTTTGTACTTTATGAAGGTAAAGCTACTTTGCTAATTATTGGAGCAGGAGGACTTGGATTGTGGTGTCTACAAACGGCAAAGGCAGTTTTACCGGAAGGAACGCGGATAATAATCTCCGATATAAGTGTAAGTGGACGGCGAGTTTTTTTTCTCAGTTTGGAGTCAGTTACACTACCGATTGTAAAAGAAAACTTTTTCAAAAGAAAAAATGCACATGTATATTCAAAAGTGATTATGCGTGCAAGAAACTAATATGAAAATGCCACCTTAGTGGGTGAAACTTCGAAAGAGTCCATGAAATACAAAAATTATCAAATCAGATTAATATTATTAAACTGACAACATTAAAATGGCATTTGCTATACTTCAAATTGCTTTTTTTCTAATTTAAGCATGGGCCACTGCAAAAGAGTAGAAATAAGAAAGATAAACAGCCAATGAATAGAAACTAATTGTATATGTACTTGGGATAGTTTTTGGTCAAATTCAAATGTCTTTTAATATGATAATTCTGTGTAATTTTATTCAAGCAACCTAAATTGGAAAATGCTCTTGCACACGGTGCGGATGACACAGTTTTGTGGGATCCTTCTCTCAGTAAAGAAGATATAATAAACAAAACAAAAGAGAAAGGAAGTGATGGCTCTATTCAAGCCGTTATAGATTTTGTCAACTCGGCTGCAACATCATCAAGAGCTATGGGAGTTCTTTCGAAGGTATGATTAATTCAGCTAAAATCACGCAAAAAAGATTGAATGTCCGTCGACATTTCCTATATTCTACGCAACAGTGTATCAAATGTACCCAGCGAGTATAGCCACTTAGGAAAAGGTTTGGTTTAATGATTCAAGTTCAGCATCAACCTTTTATTTTAGGGTGGTACTATTGCTATGGTGGGATTATTTGGCGGATCATTAGAAATCTCCCTGCCATTGTTTGCATTTCTTCTTCAACAAATTCATGGAGTATTTGTCGGTTCTCTGGATCAATTAAAAGAACTTGTACAATTAGCTTCAAATACCAAGGTAATGTACATTTAAACAAGCCGGTAGGCGCCCAGGATCTCCGCTGATAGTTGAGGCCCGCACTCATGCAACCGGTTACCACCCATAGAAACCTGAGGATCTCTAACGGCAGCGCGATTCAGAAAATGAGTGGGTTGTTACCGTAACTTGCGAAAAAAAAAACTAAAAATTTCATAAAGATTGGCGTGTTTTTCGTTGTTACCATGGGAACGAAACTTCAATCCGGACTTTCTATAAAACGCAACTTAATAGGGTGATGGGATAATCGACGTGTAAAATTTCATTCAGATTGGTCCAGCTGTTAAGACGCTATATCTAAACAGACAGACAGATACACCGACAGACAAGCCGTTAGGCGCCCATCAGGGTCTCCGCTGATAGTTGAGGCCCTCACTTAGGCGCGACCGGTTACCATCTATGAAAACTTGCGCAGTTACCGAAATTGCCTGTTCATTTTAAACGCTGTGCGTCTGCTTTTCATCGTTGCGTGAGGAATAAAATGTGGCTAATTATTAAAAATTCCCAGAGCTTCGCCAATTTACAAGGTATCGAGATGAATGGCGGCTTGTTAGAGAAAGCATTTTTTTCCGCGAAGGGTAGCAATCTCAGAATTTTAATTTTCGACTTAGTTTACGAGGAAATTGCGACAGATTCTCAAAAAATTAGAAATTTCTCGACGATTGGATGTTATTTGGTTGGTGCCATGGAAACGAAACACCAATCCAGCCTTTCGAGGAAACGAATAATACTAGGATGACAGGTTAACCTACATGAGAAATTTCATCCAAATTGATCCAGCCGTTTAGAAGCTACATATAAACAGACAGACAGGACGACTGAGAATAAGGGTCTCCTATAGAGCGGAGATCCAACAGACAGAATGAGTGATAATAAGGGTCTCCTAGAGCGGAGATCCAACAACTGATAATAAGGGTCTCCTAGAGCGGAGATCCAATATAAACAATTGTGGTTTCATAAATAGTAACAGAAAACGCGATAATGGGACACGAATAGGTTTAAGAAGTAATCTCTTTTGGTACTTGACCGACCTTCTCAATGAATCGTTTTTTAATATCCTTGATAGCGCGGAAAAAGTCGAATAACATTAACAAACACACAATATATTTTCATTCGATGTACAGCTGAAGCCACCTGAGATATCTCATGTCAAGCTTGAAGAGGTGCCAGAGATGCTAGCAAAGCTGCGTAGAGGCGAAATCACCGGAAGAACCTTAGTGAAGTTTTAATATGGAGCGTTGTTCAATTTAAGGGACTAATGAATTCATTATTTCACCTTCAAATGATTAATATTATTTAGAATAGTAGCTATAAGTTTTCGTAAGGCCCAGCAAAATCAATACTGACAAACTTTGGAATAATGATACAAACCAATAATTTCTGAATTGTTTTCATTCTACTATACTATTCCAACGTTTAATTTTTAAGGTTTTTAACTTATTCATGTAACGTTTGATTTATTGATCTTGAGATATATACCATGTGCAACACGCGTCATATGATCAAAAATATATATATAATTCAACTTGAGGCAGATAATCAAACATACATGCATAATAAAACATACAAAAATGAAGAAAAAAAAACACGTTTAAGTTTGTTGGAAGAAGATATGGGCTGTGGGCAGTTGACATATATTCGATTTTTTTCTATTCGACACGAACAATATTTCACACTTGTGCAACGACAGAACAACCAGATTGCAATTACCGTCGCCAGTTCTATACCTTATCTAAACTCAAACATTCGGAGAATGTGATCAATGTCTTTATGCGTTATGCGTTCATCTAAACTCCAAAACCACCATGACTAAAATCATTCTCAGGTGAACGACGTTGACATCAGTTTCTTTTCTGCCAAGCGGGTTAGACTTGACCAGAAAGCAAAATTGGCCAAGTTTGGGATTCTGTCGAAGGAAAAGCCGAGCAGTCCAAATCGCAAGATTCCCTTGAATTGTATACTAAAAAGCTTATACTATTTTGTCTGTGGTTTGCTTTTGCATTCCATAATAGGTCGTAAAAACATTATACAATTCTATACATTTATTTTTTTCGGAATGGCGAACAGGGGGGCCACGAGTGCAAAAAGACGCCGGAAGGGAGCCACGAGCCATAAAAGGTTGGGAACCACTGTTGTAGAGTATGATGAACACGTCCGGAGAATAAATTTTGCTTCCATTAATGTTTTAAATACACTAATGAAAAATAGTAGGTGAAAGATCTGACGCAATTCTGACATAAATAGTATAAAAAATGTCACGGACTTCTTCATTTCATTCTTGCTGTGATCAACGACGCGGGTCTCGTCAGATATTACTAAGTAGAATTCCTGGGCAATGGGATTTCAAACAGCTGTAGAACGCAGCGACATGGTCATTTGTAGCTGATTAGCTATATAGCGTGCTTTTGACTTATTAGCATGCCCTTATAGGAAAACTAAGTATAAAGCAGGCTCTGTATTCAGAATTTTTTTTTGCCATAAAAGTATGAAAGTTTTGGGCTCACATTTTTTCATTCATATCTTAAGTTTCACAACTAAAGAAATGACTTCGCTTACAATTACGGTACAAGATAACTTAACTTGAATTTATGTAATATTTTCAACCATTTTTATAAGTTGAGTAATCAGATACGAAACTCAGAATCCATCATGAAACAAATGGGAATTCCTTTTTCGGAAGAACCATTGGCACTAAAATACATTATACGGTTCCAAAACCACCGAAAGGCGGAATTACAGTTAAGGTAAAGAACAACTAAGTCAATTAGCTTATTAGTAATAACTACAAGTCTGTGACGTAATTGCGTTATATTCTGGTACGTTAAGGTATTTATATCAAAATATTTATCTATCTTGACGCCCGTGGGCCGTAGTTTGGTGACCCCTGCTTTAGAGCGCGCCCAATGATGAAGTTTCCCATTTCCGCTTCGAATCGATTCGTAAATCCAAAAGTGGCATCCCTATTCATGACACTTTAAAGATTTAGTTTGATTGAACTGAACTATATGGGTAATAAAAGATCCGAAGTGAGATGGCAATCAAATCAAACATTTAATGCCAGTACTTGAATTATGCGTACGAAATAGAAGTTGCGGGCACGTCTGTGAGGTCGGAATTCGGCGTTACTGGCTATAGACTGAGTGATATTTCAAAACTTTCGACTTTGGAGTCTAAATGTAATTTTTTTAAGCCGAGAATTTCGGTACTTCTGAAACCAGAGACCACATATGAACTAAGAAACATGTTCGTTTTCACTAATGTTTAACCACACTCGCATAGTGATATTGCTGGTGGGCAATTTAATAGTGTAGTGTATGATGAACCCAGACGGAGAATAACGGATTTTGGTTTCATAAATGTTGAGCAAACACAGTAAACAAATATTGTGAAAGTTATGGTTGCATTGTGATCAATGACGCGAGTCTTGCGAGATATTACTAGGTAGCATTGCTGTTCTAAGGGATTTTCAACAGGTGTAAAACGCAGCGACATGGTTATTTGTAGATGATTAGCTATAGATCATGCTTTTGACTTATCAGCATGCCCTTATAGCAGGGATGTGCAACCTTTTTCACTGGCGGGCCAAATTTAAGTAACTGAGTGAAGCCGCGAGCCGCACTGTTATTTAATATAGACTTTCTAGTAGTTACAGGCACAAAATTGTTTATTTTTGCTAGTCACCTTACGGCATTATTAGGGCTCCTATAGAAATAGTGAGTTAAACGAATAAACTTCTGAAGGGACTGCTATTTAAATTTATCGCGCCACCGACTTTTTTTCAATTCAGTGGAAAACACGTTTTTGTAATAAATATTGTATTTTTTGCAACAGAATTTTGCTAGTTTTGCTAATATGACAGTGGCACTCAGGTTCTGGTATAGGCTTTGTGGCGCAGTAGGATTAGAATTGCTCGCACGTACCAGATAACATAAACTAAATACTCGATTCGCGGACACACCATCCAAAATTGTTATTTTTCTGCGAGCCGCACAAATTTTTTCTGCGAGCCGCATTTGGCCCGCGGGCCGCAGTTTTCACACCCGTGCCTTATAGGAAAACTAGGTACAAAGCAGGCTCTGTATGCAGAAATTTATTTCACATGTAGGTGTGAAAGTTTTAGGCTTACATTCATATATATCTTAAGTTTCAGAACTTAAGAAGTGAGCTCGCTTACATTCACGGTACAAAATGAAAGAATCTAAATTAATGTAATATTCTCAATAGTGAGTAGAAACTTTTTTTTCATAAGTTGAGTAATCAGACACAAAACTTAGACGAATTCATCATGAAACGAATGGAAATTCCTTGTTCGAAAGAACCAATGATATTGAAAGACATTGATACGATTCCAGAACCACCGAAAGGTGGAGTTACAATTAAGGTAAAGAACAGTTTGGTCGGTTAGTTTGTTAGTAATAACTGCAAGTATGTGATTATATACGTATATGTATTTATGCCGGAATATTTATATATATCTTGATGCCAGGGTTCAATATCCCCTTTGTTGTTAAGTATCACTGTTTTGTAAAATTATATTTCATTATAAATTATCTATGTTTTGCTAACATGGAATCCATAAGTTTATGTACGAAAAAAGAAAATAATTTATTATCAATTTTGGCCCGATGTTTTTAGGTTTTTATTTTGCACTGTCGCAAAATAGTATATATACTATAGTTGTCTGTTAATATATACAATCAATCCAAAAAGAATTCCAGTCAGAGTTATACATCAACAACCTAAAACAAATCTCAAGTATATCGACGATTTGAATTCCATATTGTGAAATGATTTGACATTCTTGTAAAACACACTTTTGTTTTAATTCAGGCAGCTTTTTGTGGAATATGCCACTCAGATGTTCACATGTTCGATGATGAATTAGATATTGGTGGAGGGATATTTCTGAAGACACAGGATATCAATCCAAATGTTGAATATCCAATCGTGCTGGGGCATGAAATATCTGGGACCGTTCATGCTATTGGAGAAGAAGCCGGTGAACGCGTAAATTTTTATAAAATACAGTATTTCAAATGATGATAGTAGACAATAAAATATGACACAAATGCAATTGTTGATGAGTGCAAATGTATCTACCGTAGTTCATTAACCGACTCAAAAATGGTTTAGCACCGTTTTAAATGAACACCAAAATAAAGTAGCGACAAGGCTATCATTCAGACCATACAATCATATTCAGGAGATGATTTTAATAAATTTGTATTTAGATAATACGGACTTGAAAGTTGGTGACAGAGTTATTGTCTATCCATGGCTTGGCTGTAGTGACTGCGGATTATGCGATGGAGGACAAGCAAATTTTTGTTGTGGACAGTCAAATTATATTGGATGCTCTGGACCTAATGGCGGGTAAATATCTTATGTTGAGCTTCACTCACTCACTATATATATATCAAATTTGGGTGGTATATTTCGTTTTATTCTTTCCTATTTTTACACTTTATATGTTTTTTACAAAATAAAAATCATTCAATTGTATGCATTTCTTGCTCTAGATATTCTGAGTACATGAAAGTTACCAACCCAAAATACGTGCTAAAATTGCCTGACAATATACCATTGGATATCGCAGCAATGCTGCCATGTTCAGCACTAACCGGATATAACGCTGTATCAAAAGTGAAACCAACAATAGAAAGATTCATCAACGCCAAAGGTATATCATTGTATTTCAGTCTTTTAGTTTGTAGAAGGCCTATAATTTTAACCCGTACTTCTCGGTTCGGTACAGTTCAAAATAAATATTACATACAAAGGTTGAATGATTTAGGTTTACTCCCGTGAAAATATTTCTATGGATGGCTATAGCAGTCAGGCGTCAAAAATGTAAACGATCTTGTTTACTAACATTGAATTTACAAAATTCAACAACGCTATCTTTGATATGCGCTATCAACAATTTTGTCTTATCGAAAAAATTCTTGAATAAGAGTGATCTTACATGGGGAAAGTAAATATTTGTTTTAGAATGTAAAATATCCGGTTCAGCGAACGGCACTGCAATGAATTACAAACGGATTTGTTTCAATCGCATCGAAGTAATTTGAGTGTCGCAGAATATAAAACCCACGATCTTTGCGTGTCATAGTCTGAACAAGCTCCATCAAAGAAATTTGGTAGCTAACTGATCTATGCCTCTTGGAGTGTTTCAGTCGTTCTTTTACCTCTATTATATAATTCAAACCGATGTTATATATGAAACATACCTAATGCAATACAGTAATCCGGATGACGCATATAATAAAATTTCCTAGCTTCGCTGTTTCATTATGCTTTGATACTTTGACATATTATCAGTCGTGAAATTGCGGTACCTGTTAAGGTGTTACTAATTTATTGTCAGCTCCTGTGCAGTGATACGAGACTATAAAATTATCGTGTTGGCACCGAGCGGTGATAAGAAACTTACATAGCAAATAA